TGATGGATGGATGGATGGATGGACTGATGGATGGATGGATGGATGGATGGATGGATGGATGGATGGATGGATGGATGGATGGAATAATTAATTATTTAATTTGGTGAACCAAATAAATCCAAACCAGGTCAGATCCAGCTGTGATTTCAGGAAGTGAATAAGGAACCTACAATGGTTCTATTCTGGTCACAAACTTTTAAATAATTTATATTTATATGCATGGAAACATTCCCTGTTTGGTTCTATCACTTGCTTTTATAATGCAGGAAGCGTGTTGTATTTAAAATATTTATTCACATTGAGACAACAGAGTCCTTGTCTTCAGATGAGATGAAGAAGACCTGACATCGTTCATCCAAACGCTGAACTAAATGATGACTTCTGCAGACCGATTGAAACAAGCAGTTGTTCTAAAACCATGAAATTACCTGAAAACGTCAATGCCCCACCCAGCCACAGCTGTGAAAAGGCGTGGTCCGAGGTCTCGTGCCGGGTTTATGGGATAGCCACAGTTCAGGCCCATGGAAACCCCGATGGCCATGATGGTCAGGCCGATGCACAGGGGCTCCATGCCTTTCGGGGCGCCAATATTCTTCTTGTCAGTGATGGCCAGAATGCACAGGATCAGTGCACCAGTTGCAATTACCTTGAAAATAGAAACATCAGGTAATTTACACAATATACAAACATTTTTTTTAATTAATGCTGAAGTTCTTACAATAAATGGGTGATAGCTGCGGAGGATAAAGGTGAACAACTAAAACGTTACATTTCACTGTGAGTCTGTATTACAGACATTGGCCCCGGTGCAGGACCCCCACCTGAACTGCCCTTTAGGTTTGCTTTAGTGACTATTTGCTTTTAAGAGAATGTTTTCAAGCCATGTCTTCTGCTGCTGTGACCTGTGCCCTGTGTTTTTCTGAGCTTTTAATGGACTTTTCCACTGGTTTCAGTTTATATAAGAAGCTATTCTCATATTTAAAGAAAAATAAAACATTGAAATACAACCAATTAAAGAGAACTATATTTTATAACACAAATTCTTGGGAGTCCTCTCACATGAAACAGAAACTAGGCTAAACCATTTCAAAACTAAGAATTCACACAAGATGCAGATATTGGTTGGTTGGTTCTCTAATTATCTTTCAGATTTAGGCAATGTGTTCAACATAATGGTATTTCATCCAGTTATTTAACAGTCAACAATGGTGTACTACAAGGCTCAGTCTTAGGACCCAACCTCTTTACAATCTACACAGGTAATGTAGGCCAGAGCATCCCTGATGTATCCTTACATTTCTATGCTGATGACACAGCTGATTATTGTCAAGCTTTCGACATCATCCAGTCAGATTTGTTCCACCTCAAACTTGTCCTAAACGCCAATAAACCCAAAGGGATGCTGTTTTCAAACAGGAAGTCGGTCCCATCAATTCTTCCTCTGATTTTATCCTCGAATGGTGCTCCTATTGAGTTTGTCGATTCCTACAAGTATTTGGGTATCTTGGTCGATTTGCATCTCTCCTTTAAGCTCCATGTGGAAAATTTGGTAAAAAAAACTGAAAGTAAAACTAGGTTTCTTTTTCAGAAATAGAAATTCTGTCTAACTCTGAATGCTAGGAAACGCCTTGTAACTGTGACTTTCCTTCCCTCCATTGACTACGGTGACATTATTTACATGAACGCTCCACTGGCTCAGTGGTTAGCACTGTTGTCTCACAGCAAGAAGGTTCTGGGTTCAATCCCTGGTTGGATCTGGGGTCTTTCTGTGTGGAGTTTGCATGTTCTTCTCGTGCTTGCGTGGGTTTTCTCTGGGTACTCAGGTTTCCTCCCACAGACCAAAAACATGCATGTTAGGCTGCCTTCAGGCCCAGGCCCTCTTGCAAAAGAGATCTGTGATCTCAATGGGATTTGCCTGGTTTAATAACGGTTAATAAAATAATAAATACAAGCACCTCTCTCACTGGTACATTTTCATCTTTAAATCACTTCTTGGTCTGCTGCCTTCATACATCTCCTCCTACATGTCTCTGTGTGAGTGCAGCTACAGCGTGCGCTCTCAGGACATTATTACCTGCAGTGTTCCCTCAGTGCGGACTGAACTAGGCAAAAGGGCCTTCTCCTACTCCGCTCCTGTTTCCTGGAACATCTTGCAAAAAGATCTGAAGCTCTCGACCTTGACCTCTCTAAGTGGCTTCAAACATCTGCTAAGTTCATGGCAAAAACCAATGAAACCTCTTTTTAGTTTTCTACACCGCCTTACAGCCTAGCTGTTTGTTTTGGTTTTTTTTTTACATTTTTTTAAATACCATTTTATTTTCACTTGTTATTCTCAATTTGGGGCAGCACGGTGGCGCAACTGGTAGAGCTGCTGCCTCTCAGCGAGTAGGTCCTTGGTTCAAACCCCGGTCCAGGGGCCTCCTGGGTGGAGTTTGCATGTTCTCTCCGTGCATGCGTGGGTTTTCTCCGGGTGCTCCGGTTTCCTCCCACAGACCAAAAACATGCATGTTAGGCTGATTGGTAACTCTAAATTGTCCCTAGGTGTGAGTGAGAGAGTGAATGGTTGTTTGTCTCGTTTGTCTCTATGTGGCCCTGTGATGGACTTGCGACCTGTCCAGGGTGTACCCCGCCCCTCGCACAGTGATTGATGGACATGGGCACCAGCGACCCCCGTGACCCAAAATGGAATAAGCGGGTAAAGATAATGGATGGATGGATGGATTCTCAATTTGTTTGCATCCTTTACGATTGTCTATTATTGTCTTTATTCTCCTCTGTTGTCATCACTCTTTGTTAAAATCAGTTCTCGCTTGTAAATGAGTCCCCGAGGCTCAATGGGATTAACCTGTAGAAATAAAGGTTGAATGAATAAAAAAAAAAAAATTTTTTTGGATGATTTCAAAGCTTTTCGTAGTGTGTATAAATTAATGTAACTTTCTCTGTGACAAAGTGTGTGAGTGTTGAGTTGAGTGAAAAGGCAGGAAGATAGAAGAAGAAAAAAGATTCAGAAAAAGCAGAAAACCTGGTAACTAAATCCAAAATGTTGGAGGCGAGCTGTTTCGAAAACCTGCACCGACAAAAGAAGACGAACAGAGAAGAGGATCTGACAAAGGCTCAGTGAAAAGCAGAAAGAAGATATGCTGAGGAAGCTAAAGTGTGACAAAGAGCAGGTGGGCTTCAGTAACAGAGATCTGAGGGAAGTAGGAAACACCAACGGAGAGAAACAGACACAGAAATAAAATATGACGAGATCAAAGGAAATGGAAATACAAAAACCTGGAAAACGCATGAAGACGACAATGTGACCAAATATCAAAAGTCCCTAACGTTGGTCACTAAAGACACTGAAAATGTTCTTGAGCAAAAGTTCACATCAATTTTTTTTTTTTTACTAGTTGAACATTTATTAAGTTTAGAAAACTAATTTATTTTGTAAAAAGGTTGTGATGTAGCAAAACATGATTGTAAAGCAACGTAATAGCACAGTACAATGGCTTTTCTGTGTGTGCAAACAAAATACGTATTACATCTAATACTTGCAGCACAAGGTTTTGTTGAAGCTTCTTTCTTCATCATGTGCTTTTGAGTCAGTCACATTTAAACGAGGAAAAACAAGTAAAATGATGAAAAACTCACCTGATCAACAAACCCGTTGAGGACTGAGAGGTGATTCGCAGGATAAGATGCAAATATATTGGCAGTGGCATTTGCTCCAGTAACTGTAAACTCTCCGTTGGTGTATTCTATTAAAGCATCTGTGGAGAAGTCATTTTAACAAAGGTAAATTATTTGTTGTATGAAGTAACGTGTTTGTTTTCTCTTTTATAAGTCTTTTTTTTAATGATGCACGAAGGATAAATTATCCAGGTGAGCTTGTTTATGTTGGGTTGACACTCACCGTAGTACAACCCAAAGACGGCGCAGGAGCCAGTAAAAGCTCCCAGGAACTGTGCCAGCACGTACACGGGGAACTTCTTCAGCGGGAGCTTCCCCAGAATCACCATGGCCAGAGAGACAGCAGGGTTCACATGGGCTCCTGGAGTCAGGAGGGAAACCACTTGAACCAAACGCTTCAGGATTTTAAACACAAGTGTAAAAATATTAAGAGTTTTACAGAAAGAGGAAATAGTTTGATGACTCAAACTAAAAATTATTGGTTTATTTTCTATAAGATGATTAATACCAATACAGTACAAATTTCCAACATCCTGACAAACTTTTCCACACAACAAAACGTTGAGTTCCACAATGATTTTAACAAGTAAGTGTTAAAAAAGTGACTGAAAAAAAAATCACCTGATGTATTTAAAAGGAGACATTACAACTCAACTTGTTTTATTTTTGCCTTACACAAATATATCCATATCTATATCTATAGATAGATAGATAGATAGATAAACATTGTATACAGTATGTATGTTTGTGTGCGTGTCTATGGTGTTAGCATAATATCTCAAGGCTGACGCAGCTCATCGATCTTAGCGAACAGAAAAATATGTAAAACGTTGCACAGATAATGAGCTAAAATCTGGTGTGGAAGTAGCAGAGCGTCATCCTCCAAGCAGTTTTTGAGTGCTCATTGATAATCTTCTTATTTGAAACTTTGGTATGCAAAAGAGCGTAAAAGAACACTATTTTCATTTATGCAGTTTTGCATATAAAAATATAATTAATAAATTATTTCAATAACTGACTAGTTAATCTTTAACGTCTTGATGAAACTGAAAACATTTATAACCATTTTAGCCAAGCAGTTTAAAATATGTTTTCCTTTTTTTTTTGTAAGTTAAGTAAAACCAAATTGTTGTGCAGCAGATTCATGAAGCCAGCACAAACCTTCCACAGTCTCTGGTGTCTTTCCATTTGTTCAGACTTTCCAGCGTATTTTATACGTACTGTGCAATGCTTGTTTCTTTGGTGTCCTGTTTTGTCCTAAAGATTCGTGTTGCACACATTCCAGTTGTTACCGGGTCTTAATGTGCAGTCATTTATTTAACACTCCGGGATCTTGGCTTTGACCTCGATGTGGTAACACCACTGGGGGTATCAGCCGTGCGTCCATTGTTAATCTCCCCGTCCTGTTCACAAACACCGACCACGACAAGTAGCCAGACCTGCCCGTCTGAATTGCATCTGACATAATCTGCCTGAATCTGCTTAAGGCGCACGTAGACCAGGTCATTAGAGTGACCAGGATGTGTCACACTTTGGGTACACTGTCATCTAAAATCTGAAGACTACAAAGTGAAAACAATTGTGTTTTCGTCTCCTATGGGGCCGCTCTGCCAGGGAAGCCCAGAAAGCCAGGCTGGTCACACCTGACAACCCCCCACCCCCTCCACGTCTCCACAGACCCATGCCCCTGTAAAGCTCATTAGTCCAATACCTATGATCATCTTCAGAGATGTCGTTGGACAGAAGCTCCCCACTGAGTCGTGGACCCCAGAAATAAATGGCCCAGTCATGCAGAAAAAGCTCTTCGTATATTAACCTTCTTGTCCTCGAGCTTTCCTGCTCATCTTCTGAAGTCTCCCAGTTCCCTTGATTTAAGGGTTTGTTGCTAAATGATCGCAACAGGCTTCACTAAAAACAAATCAAGGTTTGATCTTCATTTTAACTCGATGATTGCTCTGAATACTGATCAGTTTCTTCTAATATACCACATTAATATACATTTCTAATCTGTGGACATCACAAAAATGGTATTGTCCAGAAGCCACACAGAATACACTTTTCAACTTTCCCTTAAGATACTTGTCCGCTATCGGTGTCATGCTGGTAGCCTTAGATGGAGTTTACCACAAAGCTGTTAAACAAACTGGCATTTGGGGAAATGTATATTTTTACTTTCTTTGACTTTTTTGTGTAGTTGTTCCAAAACAGATCCATTTATGTCAATAATTATGAAAATGTGAGCTCAAAACATAGTTTAAATTAATTTTTACATTGTTGTAGAAGACAAGTATAGTCAACTGTAATGATGGCTGTAATTTACAAGCTGCACATATCGAATGCTTTTATTACTTAATAGTGGACATTCGTCATTTTTGTCTCCCTAAAGAACCACTGAATCATTTCGAAAATAGATTTATAGGTTATAAATCTATTAAATAGGTTAATAGAAGAAAAGTGTAAAAGTCTTTCTTTAAACACAAGATGCAGGTAACAGTGACCTTTTATTACCAGTTTTGTTTTGATTTTAAAAGTCCACAGAAAAGTTTGGTCATTCTTGAAGAAGATGCTTCAAACTGACCAATAAAAAGAAAGGAGGACTTTGATTTTACCTGGAGTTTAACGGTGCTATGAATTTTACTGTCTTATATAAATATGGGTAAATGTGGTTTCGCTCAGCAGAATAGCAGCAGTCACAGCTGGTTGAGCTGGTGGAGCTGTCTCTTTACAGTGAGAAGGTTGCCGGATTGAATCCTGGCTGGGGACCTTTCTGGGTGGAATTTGCATGTTCTCTCCGTGCTGCGTGGGTTTCTTCCGGGTACTCCGGTTTCCTCCCACAGACCAGAAACATGCATGTTAGGCTGATTGATAACTCTAAATTGTCCCTAGGTGAGAGAGATAGTGAATGATTGTTTGACTCGTTTGTCTCTATGTGTCCCTGTGATGGACTGGAGACCTGTCCAGGTGTCCCTGTGATGGACTGGAGACCTGTCCAGGAGTCCCTGTGATGGACTGGAGACCTGTCCAGGGTGTACTCCGCCTCTCACACAGTGACTGCTGGATATGGACACCAGTGACCCCATGACCCAGAAAGCAAGAAGCTGGTAAAGACAATGGATGGATGGATGGATGGATGGATGGATGGATGGATGGATGGATGGATGGATGGATGGATGGATGGATGGATGGATGGATGGATGGATGGATGGATGGATTGGTGGATGG